ATCCTGCCTTTGTCTGGGCTGGGAGGCAGCATGCGGACCACCTTACGGACAGGCCAGAACCTCAGCATGCCGTTCATTTACAACAAAGACATGCCGCTCATTTTCATCGGTGGCGTACCCCGTAGCGGGACCACACTAATGCGAGCTATGCTGGACGCCCACCCTGAGGTCCGCTGCGGCGAGGAAACCCGCGTCATCCCACGCATCCTGGCCATGAAACAGATGTGGAGCCGCTCGGGTCGGGAGAAGATGCGCCTGGACGAGGCCGGCGTGACTGACGAGGTGCTGGACGCCGCCATGCAGGCCTTCCTGCTGGAAATAATCGTCAAGCACGGCGAGCCCGCCAACTTTCTGTGCAACAAGGACCCATTTGCACTGAAATCTCTTTCCTACCTGGCCAAAATATTTCCCCGTGCCAAGTTTGTGCTCATGATCAGAGACGGTCGGGCGTCGGTCCATTCCATGATCTCACGAAAGGTGACCATTGCTGGGTTTGACTTGGGGAGCTACAGGGACTGCCTGACCAAGTGGAACCGGGCCATAGAGACGATGTACACTCAGTGCCTGGACGCTGAAGACAAATGCCTGCCTGTGCACTATGAACAATTGGTGCTGCATCCTGAAAAATGGATGAGGACACTGCTGAAGTTCCTTGATATTCCCTGGAATGATGCCGTTCTCCACCACGAGGAGCTCATAGGGAAAGCTGGAGGAGTGTCCCTCTCCAAGTAAGTAATACTGATGGCATTCCTACAGTTTTCCTTTCCCAAACTCCAAAAGATTCCCAGCCCTGTGTTCTGTGCTTTTACTTTGAAAGGTCTGGTCACTTTACTTTACTTTACTGTACTGTGTTCTGTGCTTTTACTTTGAAAGGTCTGGTCTGGTCTGGATAATGTCAATCTAACGTTGTTTTCCTTTTGTTGTTTTGTGAAAATTCTTAAACTATAGACTTTTGGGAGAAAGCAGTGAATGTTTCATGGCAAATGTGTTCAGTTGTAGCTCAACTTTGGTTACAGTTACAGTAACTAAAGTAAAATGTGGGAGTGACGCATCATTGGCTGATGTCAGCGTGTCTTTGATCCCTTTTGTTTGTGTCTGCAGGCGACCGTTTTGTTAACATGCAGGGTAAGCTCTGTCATTACAGCACAGCTCTATACGAGCTTCTTCGTGCAGTTTGCTCAAACTCAAACGCCTCCTTTCTTCACTTGTGTGTCTGTTGTGTTAGGACCGAGTGCACTAATGTGTAAAATGGGTGTCTGTGGCCTCTTGTCTTATGCTGAAGACGCATTTTGGGGTAGCTGAGCTGCTTCCAGTGCTCTGTAGCTGTTACTAGCACAGCGCACGCTGAATCATCATCCATCTGTGTTATGTTACGATTCACTTCCAGCTCGCTGCTCTGAGGATCGTTGACGTTTTGGACATTTAACCCCGTCGGAATGTAGTTTATCAAAGCCGTTTCCCCCTTTTATCCATGTATGTAGCTACAGTTTCTACACAACCTTCTTTCTACAGCTGCATTGCTGAAGCTCTGAAGCTAAATGTTTGATGATGCAAGAAGCTGTAAATCGTGTCTGGCCCACAAGCTCCACTTGGTGAGCCAGGCTTGTCGTATATCACATTCCCACTGCAATAGAAATGCGCTTGGGAACGCCCATGTCGACTTGGCTTTCAACTACTTAGCCTTGAAGGAGAGAATGTATGCATTGACTATTAACCTTAAGGTTAAGGACTTGCTGGTGAGCAATGTGTGAAGTGAAATGTCATGTTCTGTATAATCTGAGTTCCTGATGGTGTTAAAAACAGGGCCTTGAAACGTATCCTCGCTGTTCCACTGTTATATTTCACTACAAATGAAACATCCTGCAGCTGCACACAGTGAGACTCATCATTAGTGACTTGAAACATGTGAGACGATGTCTGCATTGCTGCACTGTGAGCACGTTTGCCTAATGGCCCTGCCTGGTGTCAGAGTTGTTTTGAATACTCTGCTATGGGAGGTTGGCCTCTGGAAGTTTTTGAGGAAACTTTTCTCTGTCTGCTTCATATTACCCCCAACCCCCTTTGCTACCACGGTCTTCCTGCCACATGGCAGAAAACAGTCCCTGTTCTCCAGGAGATATTTAGGCCACATTTTGTTATTATCGCTCTATGAGAACACTTCCAAGGTTCTGTTTAAAATGCTTTGCATCTATTGAGCAGTAACTGCCCATCTTTACTGTAATCTTCTGTGAAGACATCCAACTTCCTCTGTCGTAAGATGCGAGGGCCGAGTTCTTTCTTTCAGGTTTTACATTTACAATAAACAATGTTAGTTTTAAGGAACGGTGAACATGTAGACGAGAGGTCAGTAAAGTTCAGTTATGCCCAGTTTTGAATTGGACAGGATCAGGCCTGCAGCTCATTTCCATTTGTGGACAAAACGCTGAATGCATTCAAAATAATTCATATTCTAAATACACATAATACATTACATCTTATATTTTCCGTTTATACAGTTATTTCACACTGAAAGTTCTTTTTGTTGGAGGGCAGTTTTTTCCTCTGCCCTCAACCAGTGCCTTTGGAGCACTGGGATCCTTTATCCAGATCTGAGATGCACTGACACACGTGTTCAAACCAAGTCTTTGTCTGAAGGGCTGCTGTGGCACAGTGGGTTGATCAGGTCACCCACTGATTGGGAGGTGGTGATTTACATCAAAGATTTCTGGCAGGTTATCGTGTGTGTGTGACATAAAATAAAGCGTTGTATGTATGTGCATCTGAATGGGTAAATTGATTATTACTCAATGAGGTTAGAGCTCTATATAAACACCCACGCCTTCACCATTTACTTTACCAAGAAGTCCACACTACATAAGCAGGAGACTGACCTGGGGCCAGTGAGTGGGCGTGAAGCTCTAATGTGTGCTTTTAAGTGCTTTGGTCAGTGAGGCTGTAAAAACGCTATGTTCGTAAAGTTCAAATGAAGCCAGGAAGCAAAGCTGGAAGAACAAAAATGCCTACTATAATTTTTTTTAGTGTCACTGCCCTGTCATTAAGATGAAGGGAGATCCACGTAACTAGGTTTGTATGTTCCATTATATTAATGTGGTGTTTAAATATATCCACGTTTCTCCTGCAGCTGCACTAGCAGCATTTTTGCAAAAACTTGCAAGTGTCTTGTTAAAGTTATCCCGTCTATCTCAAACTGAAAAGACACTAATAGATGTATTAAAGGCCTGAAGACTAATTTGTAACTTTTTAAAAAGATTGATACAGTTAAACATCTGGATTTAGGTTTCATCTTACATTATATCAGGTTATAAACAGAATAAACCAGGATGGATTCGTGCTTTAAACCAAGCAGTGAAACTGTAATGTCGGGTGCTTTCATGCGTGCTGTGACGCAGGCTTGGATGCAACAGAGACTCCCGAGTGTCCTTCAGCCCTACTGGTACAACTCTGATGGCTAAATGACAAAGGCAGAGGTCCTCAGAAAGGCCAAAGTACCTGTGTCTCTTAAAGACTTTCAGTTGTGTCCAGACGGTGGAAAAATTCTCCTCAGTGGTTACATCTGAGTTAAACAAGCACCGAGTGCTTAAGCCTGTTGATTACACAGGTACAGGAAGCTGCAAAACCTGAATAGAAAGAAAAACGAGGCCAGAACAGATCAAATGTCTGCACCAGGTTAGAGTGTGGTAAGACCTCTTTGGGGTTTGCTGATCTGCAGCCATTTAGAGCGCACATCAGCCCCTCACAAATTGATTCAGCATCAAATATTAATGAATGGGGACAGGAATTAGAGCCCTGGTGATAATGTGGAGACACTGCTTTGTCCTTTTCTTTGGAACAAACAGAATCAGGGACAAATCTACAGAGTTTACATCACTTTACAATATGATTGATTTAATCAAACGATTTCTGTTGGTGTCTGTTACCTGCTAAATTTATTTTTATCATCTAAACACGAGATTTCAGCTGCGTCTGTCCAGTGAGTAATGATCACGTTGCAGAAAATCATGTCAGTGAAAGAAATCAAAGCAAATGTGAAAATGCCTCATTTACAGTTGCTGCTGATTTGTTCTTGCCATCATTGAACAGACAGAGAGAGCAAGACTGCAGACTGCTACATTTTAACTTTTTGTCAGCTACTTTTCAGAGAAAGTGTTACCAAATAGGTTATGATGAGTCACTAAATATAGTGACAAACGTGCTAATTTGGTAATCAAGAGCTGAACTGATTATGAAGTGTGATGATCAGCAGGGTTGGCTAATGAACTCGGTGCTTTTTAGAGTACAACCGAGTTAGATGAATGCTTCCAAGCACTGCCTCACACTTGGCACTGAGGTCTAGCTTTT